CTACAAAGCAGAATAGCAATTATGAGATTGCCCTTGGGTAGTTCTTCCCTGCTTCTAGGAAAATTCACTGAAAAATACAATCTTACAATGAAAATTCTGCAGTACTGCACATAGAACACACTGTGAAGAGCTTGGAAGATGTGCTAGGTATTCAGACAACTGGAAATGGGGGAGCAATTTTCAGCACACACACTCTCTCTCCCCCCCTCCCCCCAAAGGTTGCCATCCTGAGGTAGGATGAATTGGCAAAAATGATTTCCTCCCCATAGCTTTTGGTGACAGAAGCTATTGTTACATTGCATCTTATGGACCCAGCTTTTTTGATGGCATAAAGGGACCACTGCACAGTTACACATTCCAAAACTGCACTGGAACCATTAACTTATTTACTATTGCTATCAAGACACGTTTCCACATCTAGTGGAAAATTCATTGACTTCTAGAATAATTTAAAAGGTAATTAAACACATATGTACACCACCTTCGCGCCAAATCAGGTCAACTGTGACTGTGCGTTCAGCCTAAATGTATTACCAATCACTCAAGCTACTCATTCAAGACAAATGAAGCGCTCCATACAGTTAGGTATCCAGGTGGAAAACAAAGTAATTACTTCTAGCTTTATTTCATACACAGTACACCTTAAGACTTAATAAAATGTATTGTTCTTTACTTTCTAGACGGAACTACGACTGCTTTCAGACTAGATTAAATGTTCTCCCCCCCCCCCTACTTTCATGGACTCAGTGGTCACCAGCCACAGCAGTTAATTGTGAATGCAGGCAAAAGTTGAAGGACTTTGGAGGAAGGTGGAACTAATTTTAAAGAAAATAGACTCTTTTTTAACAAAGACTTCATACTTTTTAAACAAAAACTACTGCCTCTAAGATACTGTAAATGGGGGCAGATATTCCCCAAACCCCTTAAGACATTCTGAACCAAAGTTAAAAGGACATGCAGTCTGAGCAGCCAAACTCTTAGCAGAACCAGCATATACTACAACTATTTAAAAATACTGGATTGAATAGTTATCTAAAAGAGAAGGCCATATAAGCATTAATGTGGCTCTGTATGCTCTTTTTACATACAAATTAAAGTATTTCCTTCTGATCCACATGCTTGACAGATTACAACATTGATCATGGATGTCCACAAAGACGACGCCTGGGATCTCCAAATCTCACCTTTTAATTTTAGAAATCTGTAATCAGGAGCATGCAACATTTGCATTCTTGCTGATGGCCTTTGGGTGCCTAGGTGCTGCATTTCATTTTCTGGGTACTTGAGTTAATCCCCATGTGGAAAAAGCATGGTTCCATCTGCTTCTGACATTCAGACTCAAGCAATAGTCTTATGTTGCCAAAACAGAAATACCAGCACAGAATAAGAAAGCACTGACATACTTAAAGGAACTCAGTGCTTTAAAGAAGTAAAAATTATTACAAAAATGGATGGTGGGATTTGTACAGAAATCTCTAACAAGAAAGATAGCAAACTAATGAACAAAGTTAAAGTGTACTTCAGTGTCCTTAAGTGATATGAGGGGAGAGGGGGAAAGGGATGGAGCAGGGAAAAACCACAGGTATCATTGATCCTTCTCAGATGGCGAAGCTTTCTCACTCTCTATGGCCTTGTCATCCAGGATGAGAACACTGTGTGTAGACTGGATGAGCTGTCTTTCTTCTTTCTTTATTTGTATCATGAGTGTTGCACAATTTAAAATTATGCATGCATGTGAAACACTGGTAAAATTAAAAGCAAATTAAAATGCTAACATCATTAGACTATTTTCGACCAAAAAGAGGCTACTTCAATAGCGTTGCCTCAATATTGTTCAGTAGCTTTGTCTTGTCAATATTAAACACTTAGTCAAGCTGGTAATATAAAGCCAAAGATACTCAAATAAGTCTTGTAGCCAATTGTAATACAGAAATGAACTCCAGCTTGTTGGGCAAGAGACAAACAAGACTACTTGAGTTCAGACACCATAGTAAGTAAGTCATAGACAGAAGGATCTACAGAATGCTTAGTTGCTCCCACTTGCCAGTAGAAGCAATCAGAGAGAATGCACCACATCCTGCTTCATCCTCAACTAATCTGACTTCTACAGATTACTTTGTTGTCATTGTGATAAAATCTAAATATTTCTAATTATGTCTATCTGAAGTAAGCACCCGCTTTCTGAACTTTTTTTGAAAACATCAGAAAGATGCATAGAATCCAAGACCCAAGATCTCCACAACTACTTATCCAGAATGTTTAACTGCAAAAAACAGGGACAAGAAGCCAATGCCTCTCTAAGGTATCATTACAGTATCAAATAAAACAGGCACATTCCACTGTTTCACTGTACAAGCTGCCTGAGACTACTATACAGAACAGGGGTCTCAAACATGCGGCCCGGGCGCCATTAGCGGCCCGCCGGATGATAGTTTGTGGCCCCCAACTTGACTGCCCCACGAAGCGCCCACACATCCTCTGCTGTCAAGAGTCAAAAAAAAGCCCTGCCTCGCTCGCCAGCTCTTTCCCAAGACAACGCCTCTTGCACCCTCCATCCAGAACTGCAGCCTGCCAGCCAGCCCCGCCTGTCTGCCAGTTGGCAGGCTGCAGTTCCAGATGAAAGGGTGCAAGAGGCACTGTTCTGGAGGAGAGCCGGTGAGCAAGGCACACTGCCATCCCTTTCCCCCGAGCCACAGCCGAGTGATGCCTGAGAGCAGAGCTCGCTCCCGGCCCGTCCTCGAAGAGCACCTCTAAGCCGTCAACAGCAGCTGCTGCCACCTCTTCCAGGGAAGCAGCTCTCTGGCTCTCTTTCTCTCTCGGCACCCCCATCACCAGCTTGGCCAGTGGCCACCTCAACACCTGGCGGTGCTTCCTCCTCTTCTTAGCCCTGCTTTAGCCACATCGGCTCTGGAAGTTGCCTGGGCTCACCTCACAAAGTTTGCTCCCCTGTCATGGTGTGGGAAGATGTTGCTGCTGAGTGCGCTTTTTTTGAGGGGGGTCCTCAGAGGAAAGTTGCCAGACCTCCATGTATGTGTGTGTTTGTGTGCGTGCATGCGCCTGTGGGCCCCCCCGCCCCATTCTGTTCAATTTGGGGGGTACCGGTGGAGGCTTTTCTCCTTTGGCAAGGAGAATTCTATGAGGGTTTTTTTTTTACATTTTATGCCGTGGCCTCCCCCTCCCCCGCTAGGCAGTCGCCGGTGCTCCCTCCCTTCTCCGTTTCTTCATCCTGCTGCTGGTGCTGGTGGTTGTAGTGAAGAAGGAGCCATAGGGGGTCGTGGCCAGTGACGAGGGCTCATGTGCCTCTCCCCCTCTCCCTGTACCATCAAATGTTTTAGGATCGGTTTCAAGATCACATAGAAGCTGAACTTGTGAACTACTTTTGCTAAAGCAACATAGCAAGTAGACTGTGCTTCAGGAAATAATTAACTTAAGAAGATAGAGCCTGAGTTTCTATTTGAAGTATGTCTGTTGTGTGCTATGCACTATCAAGTCGGAAACAACCTGTAGCAAATCTAATAGGGCTTTCCAAGATGAGTGAGATTGTTAAGGAATGGTTTTACCAGTTTCACACATTCCCTCCACCCCGTGAGCTTCCACAGCTGAGCAGAGATCCGAATCTAAATCTCTTGAATCCCAGTTTGTCACTCTGTCCCCTACACCACAGTGGCATATCACAAGAATGCCTGTAGACCATGGGTAAATTTCAGAGTACATCAAACACATTTTGGATCACATCATTATCATATTTTCATCAAAACTACAAACTAGAGATACATATGAATGCAATCACTTTCTTGCTATCACTGAAAATTTTTCAACTTCATTATGACTATGAACTATGAAAGTTTAGTCATGAAGGCTAGGCAGAGAGGGTGGATCAACAGCTGATTCATATTAATTTTACACAAGGGATAGTCCAGCCTCCCAACAGTCTGAGGGACAATGAACTGGCCCCCTGTTTAAAAAGTTTGAGGACCCCTGGTGTATACGATATAAAGATGCTACGGTGATTCAGAAGACTCCTTTTGGATCTCTTTACATGCTGTCTAAAACGTCTGCATTAATCATAGTGAGTTTGCCAGGTATTGGGAAGATAGAAATTGGCAACCATATTCTTCATCCTATCCCCAGAACATTTAATGAGTAAATTTCTCCTGTTTTACATATTATAGCCTATAGTAGTTATTACCTTCCTTATTAGCCATAACACATCTCTGTATACCTACCTATTAACTTCTCCTTTTATTGTATTCAATAATTTCTCTGAAATGGCAATAGTACACATGACTCTTATTGTATTGGTAATTTATACATGGGATATAGAGAGTCCATACATGATAACTAGATGCTGCACAGACTAAAAACCTTAGTGTAAAATCTATTGTAAATCGCTCAAGAGCAGCCATAAAACAGAAGATAACATAGGCACTCTCCTCATCAGTCTGTACAGTCAAAAGGTATTTCCACTAAGTGATGGAAAGGCCCACAAACAACACATATTTGGAAATGCTTCTGGGCCAAAGGAAGGGCTGCAATATTGAGCTTTCTGCTGTGCAAGCCTGATTAAGGGACATTAATAAATACAGTAGGCTTCAAACATGATTAGTCAAAACAAGTGAATCTACATTCACTCAACTATAGAGGAAGACAGTAAAAAGTTGAAAATCTCGTTCATTTTAAAAATAAGGTAACAAGTTATATTGTAAACACTATTGCAAAAAAATAAACACACACACTTGTGCTGGAACTTCAAGAGATTCTTTTACTGTTTTAATTCTTTTCTTTCTGCAGTGTGTGTATATATTTACATATGTTTGCAATTGTAACTACAGTTGAGATGACCACATTGGATGAAACAAAATATTTTGTATAGAATATATATTGTATATTTACATTGCTGTGCCAATAGACAGAGGATTTTTTCTAACAACTTTATATTCTCTAAAGTTGAACGTACATTCCAATCTTTTTAAAAAGTTTTTTTAAAAAATGATACATACATGACTGTGTTAATACCTGCCAGCTGTTGGAACATCTGTAGACTGCAGCCCACAATCAATTCTCTTCGAGTTGGAGGATAGGTCAACATTCTGTAGATCACAGGTCCACCTTCAAACAAACAAAGTAAAATGTATGATTAACAACTATTTGCCACAAATAAGTAGTTTTTGCAAAGCTGATTTGGGATTTAATGCTTACTCCAACAAAATGAAATGGCCCACCCTTTGGAAAACAAGGAGAAACAAAAAAGTGAACATTTCAAATTAATCCATTGTGATATCACTAGTTCTATATATATGGCTTATATAGCCTTCCTCTCCTAGTGGAACGTAGCTTGATTTAAAAGCACATCAAAATCCTTGCTAAAATGAGGTTAAGCAAGAGTTCAAGATGTTATTGAACTGCCACTCACACTTGGCATCTCTCTCCTACTTAAAAAATTATAAAAATATGACGTGTTGCTACTATTTGGGGGAGGGGGATGAAGTAGTTAAAGTACATAGAATTGATGACTATACCCCAAATTAGTAACATCTGTTCTGCAGATTCTAAGTGAAACAGGATTTGTGGAACATATCTATAAAAATGGCCTTAATCAATTTTCATTTTGAAAAGTTTTAGGAACTATACCTGTTAGTTTCAAATAGGACAAACCAAATGAATCAACAGACTTAGATACATGCTGACCTAACAACTCTGGTCAAGTAACTGATCTATTCTAGTTGTGATCAACAACTTGATATAGGCCTCAACAATTACACAAAAAAGTTAGTCTGAGATAAAAGTGTTTTAAGAACTAGCTTGCAAAATGACCACAGAACTCCACAGAACATACGTACTGCTTGCTCTGCACAACTAGGAAGAATTTAGGATTAGCACCATTCTAAAACAGTTTCTGGAACTTATATAAAAGATAAGAACCACTACTTTGTTTTGCTACAGAATTCCCCTATTTTATTTCCATATTCTAGGAATAATGTAGCCAGAATCCTTAAAAAGGAGATTCTTTAAAAAGAGCATTCAGATAATTTTCACGTTTGGTACCTCAGAAACTGCAGTAATCCATAATATTATACATTATGAGTAAGATATGTAAGGTATTTTACCAGTTTTTACTACTATAAACTACTTTAGGAGCTTTACATTTTTATGACTAGTGCAGAAAATTTCTTTAATAAAGTACACAATAAACTCGGTCCATATATTTACAACAGACAAAATGAGATCCAGAAGAACATAGTTTATAATTTATTACTCAAAATAAACATTGCAGAGGTCATACATAGTATTATCTATTACTTTTCCTATTGTTCCGTATGATTCAGTCCAAAAAGTTAAATATTGTCAAAAGGAAACTTCTAAATTGAAAAAAAGCTATGTCTCAAATTGAGATCTTTCTCTGTGACATTCAATAGAGTTAATCATTGCACATATCAATTTTTCAAACTTGGAATAGCCATTCTGTTTATTCAGTCTCGAAAGGCTGAATTCCCCACAGAATCTATTTATAGATTACAGACAAATTAACTATTTTATAATAGATGAAGAGTACTTAAGAGTTAGTTCAAGAACTACATTTTATGCAACAACTCATAGACGCATTTCTGTCCTTCAGAAGGTATCTTCAATTTAATAGCACACAAGAAAAAACGCTAACCCATTAAAACAAATTAAAAGGACAAGATAAATGTTTCAACATTTTTATAGCAGGGGCTATTAAGCAGTTTATATAAATAATTGACAGGTATAATTTGGGGTTACTGGTTTCTTCCACCAATGTTTGTAAAAGACTTTACAGCTTTGACTCTATGCAGCTTTACTATAAAATCAAATATACAGTTTGGCCTATTTTACCAAAGGGAGCAATTTCAAAAACAGATTTTTTTTCCTGCCTAGGCAGAACCCATGATACATTTACTGAACCTGAAACTAATTTATCACTGAATGAAATCTAATAAAGCCATTATACAAAAGCAGAAAGCAATACAAAAGCAATACTAAATTCCAAAACACATCAGCTATGGCACATGAAAAATTCCTCTTATTTTCAAAAATTACTGTTCCTAACAAGGAGCAGTAAATTGCTTATTTGATCTGTTATTCAAAATTATATCTGTGGCCCCTATAAAAGGTTGAAAACCAGAGTTGGCTCACTGAACCAACAGAACTTACAGAGGAGATGACTCATCAAATCTCCACCGATTCAATGGGCCTACTCGTCAGTTGCAACTTACTATATTAAGTAACAGGATTTCAGCCAGAATACTTAGAAGACACTTTCAATCTTATATTGATGGATTGAGGGCTACTGCAATGTATGTGATCCCATGGCCTTCTGGTACTATCAGAAACTCCAAGATACATTGAATTTCTCCATGCAAATATGTCTTTGCTAGCCTTGCCATACTGCTTGTAATTATACAGAGGATAAAGTGGATTGAGGGAAGCTCTTTTCCCTCTCACACAATACCAGAACCAGGGGACATCCACTCAAATTAAGTCTTGGGAGAGTGAGAACAGACAAAAGAAAAGAGAGGTTACTTACCTGTAACCATGGTTCTTCAAGTGGTCCTCAGTGAATCCACACAATTGGGTTTTACTGCACCTGCGCAGGACCTCTCAGAAATTTCTAGAGCTTAAAAACATGTGATTAGTGGACGTTCCCCCATGGAATGCATGCTCCGCCCACCAGAGACCTCCTCAGTTCCTACAAGTCCACCACTGTCCGAGGTAAGCTGAGAGGACAACATGACGGACCGAGGGGAGGATGGGCGGGATGTGTGGGTTCACAGAGGACCACTCAAAGGACCATGGTTAAAGGTAAGTAAGCACTCTTTCTTCTTTGTGGTCTCTGTGAATGCACCCAATTCAGTGACTAACAAACTCTCTTACCGGTTGGTGGGATGTCACTGAAGTAAAGAAGTTAGTACAGCTCGGCCAAAGGCTGCATCACTCTTTGCTCGAACATCCAGCTAGTAATGTGAGAAAAAGGTCGATGGAGTAGACCAAGTGGCAGCGTGACAGATGTGTGAAATGCCAATGCCACATTGAAAGGCAGTTGATGTAGAGACAGCTCTGGTAGAGTGTGCTCAAAGAGTGTCTGTCGCTGATTTGCCTGCTAGTTCATAAGCCAGGGTAACTGTCTAGACCACTGGTTCTTAACCTTGGGTTACTCAGGAGTTTTGGACTGCAACTCCCAGAAGCCTTCACCACCAACTGTGCTGGCTGGGATTTCTGGGAGTTGCAGTTCAAAAACATCCGAGTAACAAATGTTAAGAACCACTGGTCTAGACAATCCATCTGGCTAGAGTTTGTGATGATGCCGGTGAACCTTTATGAGGGCCAAGAAAACAAATGAAGACTCATGGGGACCTTCTGAAAGACTTTGTCCTGTTAAGACAGAAAGCTAGGGAGTGCCTGACATTGAGCATGTGGAGCATGCGCTCAATATTTGTCTGAGGAGATGAGAATAATGAAGTAAGGAAGTTAGTATAGCTCGGCCAAAGGCTGCATCACTCTTTGCTCGAACATCCAGCTGGTTGGATGTTCGAGCATCCAACCAGCTGGACAATAGTAGGAGCTTGGAAGGGTGGTCCTCTAGGGCAGAGGTCATCAACGACCAGTCCCCGGCCCGGTAGTGGTCCGTGGCCTGAGCCCGACTGGGCTGTGGAGAGACCTCCCACCCCGCACCCCCATATGCACTCACCTCTGCAAATGCCGTTTGAGCCTCCACGCGTGCTCGTGCGCATGCACAAACAGTGGTGCAGCGCTTATGCAGGCGAGAGACAGAGCGGTCTGCCGGAAACTTGAAGGTCCCAAAACAAAAAGACACTACTTTCCTTCTCCTCCTCTTTGAATAGTGGGGCATTGTTAGTGGGTGGGGACTCGGTTGGCGGGGAGGGAGAACAAGAGGCGGCCTTTCTCTGCAAGGAAGGAGTGCAGGAGGGTGAGCCAGCACTACCCTTACTCCCCAAACTGAGGCCGCTCAGGGCGTTGTAGTTTCTATGGTTGTTTTGGAGCCGAAGAGGGGCTGAGCTTCTCCCCTGCCCCCGAACTGCAGCCTGGGCCCGAAGTTGGACACTCCCTTCCTCAGCCCCAGCTGCCCTCTTTCTTCCGGGCTATCTCAATCTTTCCCTCAGCCGCTGCCTGCTTCATCCCCCCCCCCAGCATTGACCCGTTTCCCGCTGGTTCTGGCGGGGGCTCCCTTACCAAATGCTTCCAGGCTTGTCAGCCTGTTAAAGTATACAGGCTTTGTGCTTATTTGTTGTTGTTGTTTAGTCATTAAATGGACCAGAGCACCCCAATTTCTGCTTATACTTTTCGTCAAAAAGCCCAGCATGTCCAGGAGAGGAGAGCCAAGCTGCCTTACCAGCAAAGCTGGTGGAGCCTTAGGAAAAGATAAACTTTTCAGCAGCCTAATCTTTGCCGGTTGCACAGAAAGCTGGCGGGTGAAGAGAACTAGCATAACAAAGGTGGCAATTCCAGACTCTTTTCTCCTCTCTTTAAGCGTCTTTCCTCTTTTAAAAGCAAGTTCTTATTTATTTCCTTAAGTAAGACACCAATCCTCATCTTATGATCCTAAAACAAACTCCCTACATAGTAAGCCAGATTGGGTGCTGGGACTTGTCCTCATTGTTTTTAATTTCTGCTAGTCAG